CGGGTTGAGCCCTCAAGTAGGGGACACACAGCGGGGTGGAGGGATCGGGACGGCAGGAGGGATGGAAGAGGGTCAGTGGTGATGGATGGAGATGGGAGGGATTGATGGGATGGATGGAGAGAAGGGAGAGATGGGGGGACAGATGGGGGGACGCGGATGGTAGGATGGACATGGGTAGTGGGATGAGTGGGTGGAGGGATGGATGGAGGTAGATGGGTGGATGGATGGATGGGATAGGTGGATGGATGGGTGGAGGGATGAATGGATGGTTGGGTTGGATGGATGGATGAACGGATGGGTTGATGGATGGATGGTTGGGTGAGATGGATGGATGGATGGGTGGATAGATGGATGGGTAGGTGGGTGGATGGTAGGTGGGTGGGTGGATGGATGGGTGGGATGGATGTTTGGGTGGATGGATGGTTGTGTGGGATGGACGGATGGATGGAAAGATGGGTGGATGAATGGATGGATGGGTAGATGGGTGGATTGAGGTAGATGGATGGGTGGGATGGATGGATGACTGGATGGATGGATGGTTGGGTGGGATGGATGGATGGACAGATGGGTGGATGGATGGATGGGTAGGTGGATGGATGGGAGGCATGGGTAGATGGAAGGATGGACAGGTGGGGGGACACGGGGACACACACCTGCCTTCACCTGCTGGAAGAAGGCCACCTCCTGGCGCAGCAGGTTGGAGAAGAGGCGGTCGCACACGCGGGCGTTGAGGCGGGCCCGCACCCAGTAGAAGAAGCCGTCGCAGCAGCCGGCAAAGATCGAGCTGGAGCAGAAGGAGAGGCCACATGTGACGCGGTGACAATGGGGGGACAATGGAGGGACAACGGGGCCAGTCCTACCTTCCCACTGAGGCCAGGCCCATGAGGATGATGGCCGAGTTGAAGCTTTCGGTGCTGAAGCCGTCGCTCAGCAGGTCGATGACCTTCCCGGTGTAGTAGGGAATCATGGTCTCACCTGCGTGGGGGAACAGGGGACATTGAGTTGGGCACCCCGGAGCTCCCCGGTGGTCGCGGGGCCACTTGCCACCAACTCACCGGCAACGGCGAGGGCGAGGAAGATGAAGGCCCCGCACAGGTAGGGCCACTCGGGCCACGTGAGGAGCAGCAGCCGCCGCAGGGTGGCCTTGGCCTTGGGGCTGCCATCGTCGTCACTGTCAGCGGGCGCCTCGTGCTCCAGCGCGCGCCACGTCAGCAGGGCCAGCGCGGCCACCCCGTGGGCCAGCAGTGGCCACCCGGCCGAGGAGGTGGCCAACAGCACCGGGGCGGCCCCAGGCAGCGCCAGGGCGGCCCGCAGGGCCAGGAAGGCGGCGGGTGACAAGCTGAGCACTGCGGCGGTGA